CTGCAAGCACCTCTGAGAGAAAGCCGCCCTCACATTCCTGTCCTGATGCCAGACAGTCCAAGTTTCTCCCCATATGTGTCTGGGTCCCCCAGAGTCTCGCCCGGAACTGGAGTTCAGAGCAAGCGGGAGCTTGTAACTCCCTCCCAATTAAAAGAGCAGCATATCCAGGTGCCAGCACTTTCCGCACCTCCCCACCTCCTACCAGTCTCAATGCCCTTTCTTCACCTCTCTAGTTGTGGAACTTCCACTCAGACTTTTTTCCCGCGGTTCTGGGTGGTGGTTGTTCTGCATTTTAGTTGTAATTTTGATGTGGTTGTGAGAGGCAGCAAGTATAGGTGTTTACTACCTATGCTGCCATCTTGGTTCCTCCAGGCCAACTGATTCTTATGTATGGTTTCTATTTCTTGTTTCATGCTGTTGTAGTTCAAACTAGGGTTCTTGAAATTATCACTAAGTTCCTTGAGCATCCTTTTAACCATTGCTTTGAACTCTATATCTGATCATTTGCTTGCCTCCATTTCATTTAGCTCTCTTTTTGGAGTTTCTTCCTTTTCTTTCATTTGGGAGTGGTTTCTTTGTCTTCCCAGTTTTCCTGTCCCTTTGTTTTTGTTTTTATGTATTAGAGCTCATTGTTATGCCTCTCAGTCTTCATGGGGTGGTCTTATGTAGTCATTGTTTTGTGAAACCCAGCTGTGCAGTCTCTTAGATCTCCTGAGAGGGCTGCTCTTTGAATGACCCTTGTATGAGTTATTTGTTCTCTCCTGGTGTAATTTGGTCTTGAATGTTGTCCTATTCATGAGAGGAATCTCCTCTCAGGTTGGCTGGCTGTGAGGCTCATCCCCAACCATGCTGTGCAAACTGTTGTGCAGGTGCTGACAAAACAAAACAAAACAAGAAACAAAACAAAAACATACACAAGACCCCAGCCTCCAGGTATTTTCTATCCTTTCTTGATATATGCCTCCTTCTCAGGTGGACCTCAGTTGCTAATTCCAGGTGAATGTTCCCCAATTTAGTTGTATTTCCAATCTGGTCCTGTTCCAGTCTTACCAGCATAAGAAATTATTAGGCTTAAAAGGTGGGAACTGTGGAAAAACAGGGACAAGCTGCCATCTTGTTAAAGGAGACTAGACCATACTTCTCCCATAATACTTTTCTATTTGCTGGAATTTTCATGATAAGTAATCCTGATCTTGATATTAATCATTTAAGCTTAGATTTTGGAAATACTTGCATTATTTAGAACTTTCTCTCAAGAGTTCTACATCAGCCCTAACCAGTTTGGCTCAGTGGATAGAGCATTGGCCTGCGGTCTTAAAGGTCCCAGGTTCGATTCCGGTCAAGGGCATGTACCTTGGTTGCAGACACATCCCCAGTGGGGGGTGTGCAGGAGGCAGCTGATCAATGTTTCTCTCTCGCCAATGTTTCTAACTCTCTATTCCTCTCCCTTCCTCTCTGTAAAAAATCAATAAAATATATATTTTAAAAAAAGAGTTCTACATCAGAAGATTATTTTATAACTTAAATCTACTAGATTCTAAGCTCTTCTAATAGATTATATTTGGAAAGAAAAAAAAAACAAGAAATTTCAGTGTTGATTTGATTCTTGAAACACCTTATTATTTTCTGATTTACGTTTGTATTTTAATGGAAGTTATTTGTGCTTGTGTAATTCCATGTAGCACAAATGAAGTATGTTCAGCTGAATTTTGCTGCAGTTAATTGATATTCTTGAAAGAAGCCAAGATTAAGCTTTTGGGAGATGTACATTAAGCTTTGAGGGCAGCCATTAAGAGCTAAGAGCTAAGGGCAGCCAGCAAGAAAACAGGAACCTCAGTCCTACTGTCTATTGATGTGACATATTTTGAAAGCTGATCATTGTTTTTCTTCTTTTTATCTACATGTAGAACATTTATCTGCATAACAGATTTTAGGTAAAGAATCTTTGGGATCATTAACTTATCTCTTTTTTTGCCTCTTCTAAATTTGCATTATAATTTTTTGTTTTTTTATTCTATCAATTTGTGTTATTTTGTTCCAAGGATAAAATTTGAGGAATATTTAATCCATAAAAGCAACTTCACATTTCAAATTCTATATCTCTATTCATCTACTTACCTACATACCTTTGCTTTGATAAAAATATATAGCATGGAATCACTTTTAAAATATCTTTATAGGCTTTGGAAATATCTCTTAAAGCAATAAGATGATATGTGTGGCATTGAGAACAGAAACTATGTCTAGTCATTACTCCCTATGATGACTGAATGAGTTAAAGATGTATGGTAACTGAAGCTGTAATGGCATATATTTAGAAAGAAAATCTAATTTGCTACTTTTAAAAAATGTAGGTTGGCAAACAAACCTAAAATAAAAGTAAAAAAAGATATATTTTTTATTTCTGGAATATGTGTTAGTTCTGTTACCATTTGCAATGATGGATATCTGTGGGACTTTATGCTATGAAATAAACTCTGATCAACGATATGGCTGTCTTTTCTCTTTTACAGTGTTTGCCGATTAAAGGCCTTGGATTTGTGCTCGGCGCCTATCAGTGCATTTGCAAAGCAGGATTCTATCATCCCCGAGTCTTCTCAGAGAACAATTTTCAAAGTAAGTGCTCTTCGCTTTTGTACATATATCTGAATACAAATATCTACCATTATTAATTATTCAGATTTTCTTTTAACCTTGTTGGAGTTATATGGTTAAATCTCCACTGGTTTGGCATTGGCATTCTTTCATCGCATAAGGAGTTTTTACTTTTGTTTGTCATCTACAATATTCTGGAGTACCACAGAAATAAGGGGGGGAGGAGGGAGGGGCAAAAGGAGGTTTACAGTAGATTTACAATACGGAGTTAATAAAGCTATTGTAACAATCATAACCTGGATGTTTTTTGTCATGCGAACAATTGTAAACCTACTTTTACCCACCCCCGTATGTTTATTTTTTGGTGTACTTTAGTTTTCAATACATTTTAAAGGTCTGAAAATTCTGTAGCACCTTGGTAAGACCAATTGGGATTCTGTATAAAGAGCTTTTGCTACAGAAAATTTATAAAACTAATTTTGCTAGTTTGTTTATTCTATTTATGAATTTGTTTATATATTAGTGTTCTATGCTGAATAAAGAATTACCATGGAATTAACAGCTTAAAGCAACACAAATTTATTATCACCCAGTTTTCATTGGTTAACCTTCCAGTCAGGCGTTAGTCTGATCCTGTGCTCAGGGTCTCACTAGGCCAAAATCAAGGTGACATCTGGGATGTGATATGATCTGAAGCTCAGGATCTCCTTCCAAGCTCGTTCAGGTCATTGGCAGAACTAAATTCCTTGCAACTCTTTCCCTGATGTCCCCGTTTTCTTACTAGCTGTCAGCTTGGGCTTATTCTCAGCTCCTGAAAGTTTCCTCAGGTCCTACCTAGCCACATGACCCTCTAACAGCACTGCAGCTAACCTTGTCAAGGCTAGCAAGAGAATCTCCCCAGTCTGCTCAATGGGGTCTTACATAACATGATGTAATCATGGGAGTGACTACTCTGTAATTTTGCTGTATAAAGTAACCTAATCAAAGGTTACATTCAAAAAGAGGTGATTATACAGTGTATAGCCCAGAATTAAAATGTGGTCGTCTGGTTATTTTATTCCTACTCCAGAAAATGTCAGTGTTACAATTTGAATACTGATTTTTTTTTACTCTATCTATAGATAGCATAGTATTGCCAAATTGCTTCTAGCCTGCGACTGGATATAATAATTAAGAAAGAGATAGTGGTAAAAGAGGATGGTTTCATGGACACTTAAAGTTTAGGGTTGCCAAAAATGAGGTATAGGTATCTTTTAGATAGTCACCCATACGTCTTTGCCAGTCTCATTATTGGTCTGTATGGGAATTTGCATCTCTACTAGGTATAGTTCAAAGGTATATTGAGATTGAGACCTGAGTGTCTTATTTTGGTAGACATATATAGTTTGTTTTTTCTCTTGAAAAACATTATTCTTGGCCTTGAGACTGTTTACATTTAACTTTTAGGTTCTGTAGGTGAGTAACATTTTGTTCTCTCCTTAGTCACATAGTATAGAGTTAAGCTCATGTCTTGAGTGATAGTTGATATAGGCCTGATTCTGAGATGGCTTTCAAGATTCCCCTCCCCTTAAGTGTGGGTGGGACCTGTGGATGCACTGGACAGACACTCCCTTGTTTAGGCTATGTTGTGTAGCAAAGGTGATAGCATAGTCACTCTTGTGATTACATTGCATTAAATGTGACTCCTTCCCATAGTAGAAGAGTGTAGAGAGAGTCTAGCACTGGCTTTGAAGAAGTAAACCATCTTGTCATGAGAGGGTTACATGGCTAGGATCTGAGGGAGGCCATTAAGAGCTAAGAGCTAAGGGCAGCCAGCAAGAAAACAGGAACCTCAGTCCTACAACTGCAAGGAACTAAATTCTTCCAACAGCCTGAACACTTGGAAAAGGACCCTGAACTCCAGATGAGAATATGACTTTGCCAAAACCTTAATTTCAGTCTAGAGCAAGCATGTCAAACTCAAGCATGCCAAACTCACAAGGTTTAAGTTTATGTGGGCCACAGGAAAACAAAAGCTTCAATTTTCATAGAAACATAGGTTTATTTCTATAGATACAAGCTGAATACAAAGGGCTGAAATGAGTAATTGTTAAGATAAAATAATAGAACATCTTAATAAAATTAATATTTTTATTGAACATTAACTTACTAGACACTGAATAACTGCACAAATTAATAATTGTAATGCAAATAAACTTATTTTTCTTGTTCTCCGAAAGTGAAATATTTCCTGTTGCACACACCAAACAAGTCAGTCCAAGACTAATTACATGGCAATCGGCTGCTAAAATATTCGTTCCTAGTATTAGTGGAGAGAAATGGTGCGCCTGTGAGTAAGGTGTGTAAGGGAAATGAATGCAACACGATTATAGTAACCAGTCATTAGCGAACGTTGTAGTTCATCCTATATAATAAAGGAGAAACATGCAAATTAACCATCCCTCTGCTACGCTCAAACCACACCCACAAGCCACGCCCACAAGCCAATCAGGAGGGAGTATGCAAATTAACCCAACTAAGATGGCGGCCACAGAGCTGGAGCGAGCAGGAGGCTTGGGTT